GGGGGGGAGCAGCACTCAAGGAGCCAGGGTGGGGGCCACCTCACCCTTGAGCACGGCCCAGACTCCGTCTGCTCCGGGCTGGACTCCTGCCCTGTGAGCGCGCACCTCCCCCATTTGCTCCGGACTAGAACGCCATCTCTTCCTCCCCAATAGCAGATCTGCACACAGCCTTGGCCCCTGTACCCCCGCGCCTGTTGCCCGGGTCTGGCAGGAACCCGATCCCCTCACCTTAGGACTGGAAGCCTCTGGGTGCCCTCAGGTTCGCGCCCAGGCGCTGAGCCGGGCGCCTCTGCCTGGAGGCCACACTCCTTGCGGGCCGTATTCTCTGGGAAGGACCCCCACCCACCCAAGGGCGCACAAGGGCCCCTTCTCCCGGCCCATGTGCATTCTTCTCCCGCTAGGTCGCTCCCGAATGCGTGCGCACGGACCTCCCTTTTGCTTTTCCTCACTGATCCCCATTGGCCTTCGAGTCCTACCTGAAAGAAACTATTTTAGGAAACTTTGGGGCCCACCCTGGTGGCTGGGACCGAGAATTCAGACGAGCTCAAAGGCTGGCCTGGCTGGAAGTTGTGAGTCACTTGGAGTGATTTGGGGACGTTTCCAGGGCATGAACGACTTACCCCCAGTGCGCAGTTAAGCCCTGCGAAGGGGTAGGGGGACGCGCGGCAGGAGCTGGGAAGGGACGCAGGGCGAGGTTGGGGACACCACCGGAGGCTCCCCCCGCCCCCCTCGGCCCGCACCCGCAGCCCGGCCTCTCCCGGAGCCGTTCACCTGCCGCGGCGCCCCCTCCTCCATGGCGCCACTCCGACTGCTCGGCCCCTCCTTCCACCAGCCGGGTTCCGGAAGCCCCGGCCCCTCCACCGAGACTTTCAAAACTTGAAACTTCCCGGGAAGCGGCGCCGGAGCCGCGGGATCGGGCGCCCCCTCCCGAGGTCCGCTGGCCTTTCAGGTACCTGGGATCAGCGCCGCCACTCGGCCGCGCCAGGTCGGCTCTCGGGGCTCCATCCTGAGCCCGAGGCCGCAGCGCCTCCCCCGGGTCTGGCGTTCCCTGGGGTTTCGGACCCCGCGCCCCCTCTCCGGAGGCGGTAGTTCTCTCTCAGTGGCACTGACCCCGTCCCGGGATAGAAGGGCAAGAAGGGGCATTTCCCGCGCTGGGGCTCTCCGGTCGCCCCGCCGCGTGCTTAGAGGGGCGGGTCCGAGTGGAGACAGCGCCGCCTGCTGGCCGCGGGGCTCTGCCTGTGAGATGGGTCCACTCCGGGACGGATCTGCCTCCTCATCCTCCGAACCCGACTACGACCTGGCTCCGCCCCTAAAGGTCTCTTCCTTTCAGATGTCGTCGGTGTAAAAAGGGCTAATCCCAAACCTGTCGCCCCCACGAAATCGTGGTCCTTGTCTAGAGCCACTGTAAAAATGTATGCTTCCGAAAGAAGTCAAGTCTCACCCGAGTTATGGCAAATGACAAATCACTGATGGACCAACTGTGACTCTCACGCTCCCACCACTTGACCCAACGGGAGCTTTTCTGGTTCAGGCCGAGCCACTGTTCCACCTTCGTCCTGAAGAGACCTTCTAAGGGGAAGCCCCAACCCTAACTGATGTGGTTCAGTGGTTTGGGCATCGTCCCTGAAACGGAAAGGCCATGGGTTCAATTCCCGGAGGGGGCACATGCCAGGTTACCCAGCTAAATCCCCAACTGATCGATGTTTCTCTCTCTCTCTTTTGCCCTCCCTTTCCCTCTCTCTAAAAATAAATCATTTTTAAGTGTTTTTTAAAAAGTGAAGACACATTTATACCCTGTAAAATAGTCACTGCCTCAGGAAACGAACCACCTGCCGCAGACTCCTGGCGATGACTTGCTTGGGTAGGAAATCCTGGTGGAACCACCTCTTGGGATCCCGTGCTCACCAGCATCTTGTGCCAGTGCTTCGCTGTAAGTAGCCATGTCCCAGGGGTCAGAAGTAAGGGTCAAATATTGAAGGTGGCTTATTAGCTGACTTGGAATAAGCACCCCCTCTGCCCACCCAGTGCTTTTTGTTGAGGGAAGCCTATGGGTTCCACTTTGCTCTGACCACCGCCCTCACAGCGGGCTGGGAAAAGTGAAATTGGCACGCCGTGGGCAACCCCAGGTTATTGCCCTGCCACGGGGCATCAGCAAAAATGCCAAAGTGACTTAGTCAAGTTGGGGACATGCCTGTGCTTCCAGCCAGGACGTTTGTGGATATACCTATCAGAGTTGCTGAGTGGTCAAGATGAACACAGAGTAGGCCCTTTTTAATTTTTTTTTTTCTTGAGAGGAAATATCTGTCATTCCACTTATTTATGCATTCAGTGGTTGTTTCTTGTACGCTCTCTGACCAAAGATCAGACCCACAACCTCCGTGCACCGGGACACGCCGGAGCCAGCTGAGCCAGGGCCACAGCAGGCTTTTGGCTGGGAGTCATCAGGCCGCCTTGAGCGCGATGTGATCAGCCGTGGTTTAGAGGTAATTCTTCAGTTTCCGATCGCAGGTCACAGGCTAGCGGGAAACTAGCAAAGCCCCTCCACTCGGGAGGGTGGTCTATCTCCCATCCGGAGGATCCCTTATCCACTCCTGCAGCCTGAAAGCTGAACTATGTTTTCCAAATTCACTGAGAAGCATTTCACTGCTTCACTGGTCCCGAAGGGAAAATTCAGAAGTAGAATCTAGCCACCTTTTTTTAATGAACCCCAGGCTGGGTGCCCCTATGGAGAAATGTGGTAGGAGTCTGACCAGACAGCCATGCTGTGTGTCTTAACAGCGATGTCAAGTAATGAAATTTTAACTCTTGGCAAAACTGAAGTTTACATGCAACATACATCGGATGGTGAACAGTACAAACCACCTCTCCAGCTAACTAGCTGTTTAACTGTACAAGCATCAGGCTGAAAGGAACCTAGGTTTGCTAGCAGGGTATGTAAAGAAACTTTCCCCATTCTACACTCATTATTCTTGGCATTAGACATCAAACCCATCTCCATTTAGACTGGCGTTCCTTGGGTATGAGTGTGCAATGGCACCAACTTATCAAGTTGGCACACGCCCTCCTTTAAAGTCCCGCCCTGGCTGGTGTGGCTCAGCAGATCGAGTGCCAGCCTGCGAACCTTAGGGTCGCTGGTTGGATGCCCAGTGAGGGCACATGCCTGACTTGCGGCTCAGGTCCCCAGCTGGGGGTGTGTGAGGCAACCAATTGATGGACCAACCTCTTACACATTGATGTTTTCCTCTCTCCCTTCCCCTCTAACAGTACGTAAATGAAATCTTTAAAAACTAAAACAATCAAAATAAAAAGTCCCTTCTATTTTCTTTTTTTAGATTTTTATTTTTAGAGAGGAAGAGAAAGGAAACATCAATGTGTGGTTGCCTCTCGCACGCCCCCTACTGGAGACCCATCCTGCAACCCAGGCACCTGGCGCCCTGACTGGGGAATCGAACCAGCAACCCTTTGGTCCTCAGGTGGGTGCTCCATTCACTGAGCCACACCAGTCAGGGCAAGTCCCTTCTATTCTTGTTCTAATCACAAAACTGCAGCCCTTTCTTTCATACCTGTTCAAGAGTAAATGTGTTGAGTCTTCAGTAAGTCATATGAACACTAAAAAGGGAATGGTCACTGATCTGGTTGGGGAAAGATTTCAAAATAGGATGTCCTCTCTAAGTGTTTAGAAAGGCGACTCATTGTCTCCTAAAGAACTCGTCTTAACCTTCAGGAAACTGAGTCTCCACCCTTGGCATCAGAGTTCCATTCTTACAAAAGCCACCAAGGGTTCACAGAAACATTGAACAGAGAAGTCGGGAAACCCAAATCTTTTCCTGGGACCAAGTGAAACCGTGAAACCACTCGTAACCCAGAATTAATGATGAAGACTGCCAGGTCAGACCGGAACACAACTGCCCAGGAGTCCTCTGAAACCCGAAAGGTCCCCCAGACTCAGAGTCGAACACTAATGACCTATATAGCCAGACAGCTAACCCACGTGCAGACCGGATGTAGAGCAGTTTGCCGGCTCTTCGGGGCGCCCAGGCACTCCGTGCATCATTTACACACTCCATTCCCGAGCCCGAGGCGGGCGAGAACAGTCAGGGCCTGTTACGAAAGTCAGAGAGTAAGTCCATCTTTAGAAACCAGGACATCATTGGAGAGACCAATGTTAACCTCAGCTGCAGGGGTGAATTAAAATAGAATACTCCTTAAGGTTTTAAAATTAATGCAAAGACACATTTACAGGAGACTGTCTTCTCTGCCCCAATTCATGCAAGCTCCCCTCACAAGCTCGGCGTAGCAGGGCTCGGGAAGATGTCCTCTTCCCAGAGAAAACTAAAAAGCTATTTGCCTTTTCTTCTTCAATGTCCTTTGTACCCAAGGAGCGATGTCATTCATCTAGCACTTTCCAACACATACTTGCCCAGGGGCCACCCTGAGAACTCCCCTTGCCATCGGAACGAAGAGCACTAGCTACTGTGGAGTCACTTTCCAGGACACGGGGGCCGCCACTGCATTTCCACACAGCCCAGCAGCACTCCCTGCAAGAACAGCAGGCGCAGGGGTCCGAAGGGTGACCTCAATGGCTGGAAAGAAATGACCTTTAGTGACTTTTTCCTGTGCTCCCACATTCCCGTGAGATGGCATTATAAAACTCGACTTCATGAGGCCTACCACCCCCTAGTCCCACGAGCCCACCAGCACACATAAACCAGGTTTGGTTAGGCGGCGGCAACTTTGTTCACAAAAACCCCAGGCGTCCTTCATGTGCGCTCACTTGGCTTCTGCTCAGAACTGCCAGTTCAGATCAACACAGGCTGTCATCCATGTCTCATACATACCTTTCCATGTGGAAGTTACCTGTGCTGTACCTACTGCTTAAACCACTTAAGGGTTTCCCCGCTCCCATCGCTATGAACACGAATAAGACAAAAGCTTGCTTATCGCCTAAATCCAACAGCAAGAAACGTTTCTCTACAAAACAAGGAGAAGGACCCCAGTCGGAAAAAATCTTTATGTTCCTTTATTGGAGCAAGATTCCTGACCGGTACACAGCGATGTGTTCACTAACAGAGGCCTGTGCAGAAGTTACAGACTATCCATCTAGACAGGTTTCCATTTCACGTTGCCTATTGATGGAATAGTTCCATTTTATAAAGTTTTATACACCAAAAAGCTTTGAATTTGACCAGGCTGTCCATTAATTAATCTCTGAAAAAAAGTTAAGTGGCATTTCATTTTTTAGCTATGATATTTTACAGCATTAAAAAGCGTAGGCATTAGGTAGCTTCTCAGGATGTCGGTCTGTGCACGACAGCGTTTAGAGACACAGCGGAGTCCACCGTCTCGCCCGGACCCGCGGAGACAGGCGGGTCACGCGTGAGCGCGACACGCTAAACAGCTGGTACTCGGACACCGAGGAGTCCTGCCCTGAGTTTAACCACCAACTCGGACTTCTTACTGAGCGCCTGTCTTCTCGGCCACATTTTAGAGTCCCAATCGAGACACGCCAGCAGTAGCCCCGTGAGTAACTCAGCTCTAGAGCACCAGGTCTGTCTGACGGCGGTGGCAGGCACGGTTATTATACCCGAGTGAGCACAGATCCTTTTTAAAAAATGCCAATCTGAAATACAAAATGAAGTGTACAGCATACTCCGAACTGAGTTGTGAGAGCAATCTCGTATCCCAAATGATTGGAAGGTTTTCAAAAACGGATAGCAAATTGTACTCATGATGTTTCCCGACTACGGAGACATGAATACATCGGTTCAAGTCCCTTCCCTCCGTCCACGTCACCCTGGGGTCAGCCTGTGACGCAGTATCAAAAAATACGGTTAGGTTGACAGAATTTGACAATACGTTATACAAGTCAATCTTGAAATCTGTACTGAGAGAGAGAAAAGCATCAAATTCTTTGTGTACACATTTAGTTTTATTGTAACAAAGCAACTTGTACACTTTTAACGTTTAAAACTGAGTATCATCTTCTTTTCCAGTGAAACAAAAAGAAAATTTAAAAATAAACAGGAACAAAATTACAATAGAGAAATGTCAATTCCGAATAAGATCCTACAAGGTTCTGCTGATTCTCCCATTGAGTGGCAGGGCTCAAGTCATCATTAGGAGAGAATTTTATTTTTTTTAAAAGTGTCATCTTCAATTGCAAGGATGTCTGTTAACATCACGATTAAACATGCCAAAGGAGAAGCCATGTTGTCAAAATGCCCACTTAACCCACCCAAACATCTCAAACCCACCCTTTGCTGACCTTCTATAACCCCCTTTTTTTTAAAGTTTTTTTTTCTTTTTTTAAACAAGAGAAAGTAGACAGATACATGTTGGTAAATGCTAACTGTCCATATTCACATAGAGACACAGTGTAATCTCTGAGCCCAATATACAGAGAAAGGAGGAAAAAAGCTAGAATTCTATGCACGACTACACAGGGGCCTAGCACCCTCCAGCGTCCAGCAGAGCTAAGGAGGCGGAAGGTTTTTCTTTTTTCCCACAGAGCACGGTGGTGTTGATTCCATAAAGTTTTTCTCAAGATAGGAAGGGATAAAAATGAATTTGGAACAGAAAGGGGCAGAGATTCTTTTCCCACTGTATTCTGCTCAAGGTACACCCCCCCAAATCAGGTGAGAACCATGGTGTAAAGGAGAGAAAAGAGACCTCAAAAACAGGGAGACTGAGCACAAGAGGGGGGAGGGGGGAAAAAAAGACGGCAACTTGCTCCCAGGGACTGGAGAAAATTAAAAAAGGTTGGAATCCATCAGTGTTCCATTAGTCATCTTCTCCTTCATCTTCCTGTAGGGAAAAAAAGCGGCAGTCAATCTTCAGGGTTAACTCTGGAGCCATTCCCCAGCACTCACGGGACTGGGACCCCACACACGGGAACGCCACGACGGCGTCTCCCTGCATGAACCCGGCCATCACAGCCCGCGCCTCAGCCCCGGCTCCCTGGCCAGGCACGTCATTCCAGACCCACGCTAGCTCGGCGCTTGGCAGATTTCTCAGAATTTGTCCAGCTGCACTTGCCCTATCGCTTCAGACAGTAAGTCAGACAGTAAGTACTGGTAAGGGAAGGACAGGGTTGAGCAGTCACAAAACACTAACCACAAAAGCAGAGCTAAAGAAATCAGATACAGTTAGCTCGTCAAAATTTCTTTCAACCTTGGGACAACAAAATGGTTTATCTTTTCTACCTTCTCCCATAATTAGCTGAGTCAGTTTCATCTTACAATATTACCTATCTATCTATCTACATATACATATCTTCCAAAATAACAGCATGAATAAATTCTTCAAAGATTATCTTTTTGGACTTATCCAAATTTTCTTTTACCTCTCCTTCCTCCCCCTCATCATCATCTTCATCTTCTTCACCTTCATCCTCATCCCCTTCTTCATCAATATCTTCCAACCCTTCTTCCTCTTCATCATCATCATCATCTTCTTCTCCTTCCCCTTCTTCGTCATCCATATCAGGGACCTTAAAAAAACCAGAGTTGTATTGAAAACTCATTTTCAAACAAGTGAGACAAGCGCAACCTTGAAAAAAATATTGTCAACTCACCAAGTAGTACTGTAACGGATTTGGCCAAATATCATCTTTGATGACTTCCCCTAACTCGTCTGCACCTGCATCAGAATGGTCAGTAAACCAGGTAAAAAAGCTCTCTGGTTCCTCATGCTGCCTCTTCCTGCTGGCTTTATTCTGCGTTTGACTTGAACGTTTCGTCAAATCCTAAATGAAGATGAAAGAACTTTTGATACAGGCTCTCTACAAGACCTATGTACCCTATAATTTAAACAGTAAGATTTTTAACCCAAAGGAGAACAAAAAATGAACATCAGTATATTATCAACACTATTGTTCTAATCCACAATTACAATATAAAGGGAATTCTAGGTCTACGAAGTCCATTGTTGAATTTGTATGACTAGCTTTTCCTGAAAAGATACCAGCTAAATTTGGCTTTTTCAGAAAATTAGTTCCACAACCAGTCTAACAGTGTAACTTAAATATTTTCTGGGGGCACGGGAGGTGGAGGAGGTGAAAGAGGGTATGGGGAGATAAACAATAATGGAAAAATATAATAAAAAATGAACTATGAATTATACATACATCTCAAAAAAATAAAACGTATTTACTAATTAAATGCAGGCATAAATGGATTTTGGGATGTGGCCTGCCATTTGAAGAGCTAGGTCACCAATTAAGAAACCAAACACCCCAGTCTCTTTCTTTAAACACTCGGACTGTGGTTTATGAGAAATCCGAAGTTTTACATTTGACTTAAAATTTTTTCAAAAATATTTTAAGGATTTGCATAACACATTATCAGCGCACCAAATATTGATAAATGAATCAACAACTAAACCAAATACACAAATATTTCTGCCTGACAATTCTTCAAATACCTTTCCAGATTTCCATTTGATTTCAGTGGACTTCGAAGATGGATCGCCACTCTCATTCAGATGAAATTCTTTGGAGAGAACTTTATTTTCGAAGTAAGGATTTTCATCAAAATACTGTAATAAATGATGAGAGGATTAAAAACCAATACAAACAGCTCTACTAACCGAGGTTCAAGTTAATTTCCACAGTGGCAAACGGAAGTTGCGATACTTACAAAATCTATTCTGTAACCTGATTTAATATCTTCAAACTCTGTCACTTCGACTCTTGTCAAATAATGCAGCGCCTCCTCATCCTCCTCCCCAAGCAGTGCAGACACTAGACCAGCAAATTACAGGTCAGAGGAGTATTAGACAAGCATTGAAAAGCAACTGAGGTGTTTGTTAAAGCACTGCAAACATCTCCAAATTTCGTGAGCATCTTTGCTTCCATAAATCCATTATTAACTACCAACCAAATGGCTCAGAGTGTTTGGGCTATCGCTGCCCTTTTATCAGGAACCTAAAAGAAATCCTCCCTTAGAATACACGCTTCTAAGTAGACAGAAAACATTAATTACAAGCCTCTCCTCGCTGAGTGTTTCAACCTCTGTATACAACCAACGTGTGGGACCAAGTCCTCACTATACCCAACAAGCGGACACCCTGCACTCGAATAATGAATGCTCTGCCATGACATACCTTGTGGATGGTTGACAAATGTTGTTACCCAAAAATTTGGGATTTTGGCGATCAATTCTGACCTCTTCTGAAAAAATGGTTGGCGGAGTTTGTTATATTTCTGTTCTACTTTCAAAATCTCCTCACTGGCTTGTTCATTAAGTCTGAAGCAAATGAAAAGACATGTTGACAACGATGGTATTTAATAAACACAGAAATTGTTGAAGCTACAAAATATTTGTTAGCTTTATGACAGCACAAAATACCTACTTATAATAAATAACCAAATCATCTTGCGTTTTCTACCTATAAACTCAAGTCAAAACTAAGATGGCAATTTGATCTGCCTTAGGCACTCAATAATTGGCAGTTCTTAAACTAAGTGCCTGAGCTAGGCATTTTGGTAACATTGTATATTTACTTCAAGTACTCTAAAACCGGCTAACTTCAATTGTCTCCCTCCAGATCAAGGGGAATGAAAGAGTGCTTGTAACAAAGTTATAAGGTAAGGTAGCAACACTGATGCCCGAGTACTGAACTGTCAGAGGTCAGAGCACTGCCACACAGAGAAAGTTTGTAGCCTTTAAAAAGCAAACCCAATCTTCACAATGTCAGTGTGCTGTCATCAAAAGCTTTTTGATGACTACAAATATTTTACAGAGAATTATCACGGAATCTTCTTATTTCCCACTAAGTTGTAACTATCTACACTTAGCCAGTGGATACAGATTTGACCATACTTTCAAAAATCACCAGACCTTAGGCTGCGTTTCAGAAAACTTCTGGAAAGTAAGTGAACAAAAAACCTTACCTGTCTATTTCATTTTGTACTTCATCAATATGTTCAATTGCTTCTTGCTGTTCTTTTTCTGCAAGAAAAAGGTACATAAACTGAATACTAGAAGATACGCTGAACTAGCTCTCCCGAGGTTAACACCGTCTTGCACGAGCTGTATCAACCAAGTTGTTTGCGAAAACAGCATCTGCCTACAAGGCAAGCCCTCCACGTGTTCATGCAAGTAGTTGACAAATTACTTTTTACTTCAAAGGCTATCCACAAACCACGCTATCTGCTAGGCTATTTACAATGTTTCTAGCACTTCTGAACAAGTTACATTACAAAAAAAAAAGGGACAGATTGTTAAACATTCTATTGTGGAAGACACAGAACGAACTTTACAAACTCGCTGCTCATCACACTGCACACCCGCGACACACTAGGACCAGCTGCTAAGCAGAGCAAGTAACCCACGACACGAACAGAAATCAGGACACCACGGATCTCAGTGGAAGGATCCCGCTTTAGGGAAAGCTGCACACAAGCCCCAGCACCGACGATGAAAACACCAGACACGCCTACAAAGACAGGCAAGGGCGGCACAGCCACCCTCCCATCGCCCGCACTCAACTTTCCCCCGTGAGAATGCGAACCCCGAGACTGGGATCGCACCTTCCTCACCCCTCCAGCCCCAATTTCAGGCGGGTTGATCGCAGACGCGGCCCAACATCTCGGGGCACACTTACAGGGAGCCCACCATGCAGCGGGAAAACGAGCAGCCCCAGGAGGGAGAGGAAAAAAGAGGTGTGCTTGGAAAAGGGGCCCTTTTGTCCGGTGTGTAAAGGCGGCGGAACCCACACGCCAAGTGGGCGTGAGGGGGCCCGAACGCGCGGCCCATTTCCGGTAACCATCCCGGGGCTTGCAGCCCCCCTGCCGAGAAAGCCTTAACGGAAAAGGCAGGGAATTTCCCAAGAGCCATCGTGGTCAAGACCCTCGGAGGCCCCGGCCAGCTCGCTCGGCGCCCGGCCGCGACGGGGCGGCCGCCCCACGTGGGGAGCGCCCGGGGCCGACCCGAGCATCCTCCGGGGCGGCCCGGGCCCAACGCGCCGCCGGCCGCGTGCTCCCCCGCGCCCCCACCCTGACCCAGCTCCGGGCAGAGGGGCGCGCGGGGGCCGGCCTCCGGGTGGGGACGCGGGGGTGCCGCCCGCGGGCCGGGCGCGAAGGGGGAGCCGCGTGGAGGCCCCGGCGCGGGGCCGCGTCCGGCCGCACCATGTGGCGGCGGCGGCGGCTGATGGGAGCGAGGCATCATGGCGGAGCACAATAAAGAGAGGCTTCTCGGGAGGGAGGGAGGGGGAGGAGAGCGAGGGAGGGGGGAGAGGAAGGGGGGGTCTCCTCCGCCCGCGCCGAACAGGCCGCAGCGCCCCCGCCTCGCAGCGCCGTCCGCCGCCGCGGCGCCAGCCCGGCCCCGGCCCCGCGCGCACAAAAAAGGGCGCCGAGCCGCGCGCCGGCCCGTCCGCCCGGCGCCCCCGGCGCGCCGCGGGCCCCGCCGGCGGCCTGCGGGCCGGGCGGGCGGCGAAGATGGCGGCGCGGGCCGGCCCCCGCCTCGCCTGCTCCTCACCTGAGGTCTCGTCGGCCCCGTCGTGGTTGGAGTTGAGCTCCTTTTTACTGACTTTGGCCGCCGGCGCCGACATGGTGCTGCTCCGCGGTCGGGGGGGGGAGCGGGGAGGGGGAGAGGAGAGATGGGAAGGCGAAGGGGGCGGGCAGCGGCTTCCCCTCACGCCACACGCGCGGGCGCTCGCTCGGTCCGGCCGCCTCCTCCCGGCGCCCGCTCGCTCTCCCTCCCCCTGACTCGCGCGCGCTGCCCTGGCGGCCTGACGAGGAGGGAGGGGCTGGGGCAACGTGCCGGGCCCCGGCCCGGGGCTCCTGCTTACGAAGGGGAGGCGGCGGCGGGCAGGCAAGCGGCTGGGCTCCTTCACTCACGCTCCCCGCTCCAGCTCGCTGCTCGTTCTCCCTGAGCCGCCTCCTCCTCCACCTCCTCCTCTCGGCTAGGGGCGGGCGGTAGGGCGCAGGCGCGCCAGGCCCCGCGCTCAAGCCCCGCCCCAGGCCGGAGAGGCTCGCGCCGCCTGGCCATTGGCTGGAGCCCCGGGACGAGGGGGCGGAGCCTCGGCGAGGAGACACAGGGCCTGGCGAAGAGGCGGGAGGAAGGAACGCGACGACGTACGGGGCCGCCCCCCGCGCCGCGTTCCCCCTCCCCCGCTTTCCCCTTCTCCAGCCCGACCCGGGACATTTGCGCGCTACGGCGCGCGGCGGTCGGAGAGGCGGGGCCTCTCCGGGCCGCGCGCAGGCCCCCCAGCGGGCGCATCACGTGGTGTCGGAGCTGCTCCCCTCCTCTCTGGGAGAGAGGGGTGTTCTCAGCCCCCTGTAAGTGCATACTTCCTAAGTAACACTGGAACCCAGAAATAGATTCACTCTCCCCCTCCTGGGACACTGCTGGGGCATCCCTCTTAGAGGGGAGAGGAAGGCGACACTTCCATCCTATTTTCCAGATGGGGAAGTCGCTAACCCAACTCACTCGGGCTTGTTTGCAAAGCCTGAAGCTGTCTAGTCCATTCACAGGGCCTTTTTCTGGCTTTCAGTCCAAGTTCTGCCCGGTAGGCTGTGTGCCCCTGGGCAAGTCACCTTTCCCCTCTCTCTACTATTTATGTTATAAAGTTATAAAATGCGGAAAGGGCTGACAAGTGCAAAATTATAAAATGTAAGAAAAGGCCGAACTGAAGTGGAAGTCCTCTGAAGTTGGGGAGGCCGGTCCTTTTGGCCCAACCCAGTGCCTAACGCTTTCAAGAAACCCTACCTAGAGCGAATGCGCAGCATTCGCAACGCAGCTGACCAGAGAGTAGAAAGGCGTTAGATTCATTTTGCCCTGTAAGAGATGATAGGCCTGCTTCTGGAGACCAAGTCTCCAACCATTAGATAAGGCCAAGGCACTTGTTTAAATACAAATACCGCTTTCCAGGTACTGCAAGGTACTCCACTCTACTGACTCCAAGGCCCCAAGACATGGACCGCAAAAAGCTTCCCTGGGTGTGTGTAACCAGAGTTGGATACAGGATAACTTCCCCTCCAGCAACCACAATTCAGTGCCTTTATTGTTCAAAAACGGTCCACGGGGAGTGATCGATAAATGCTAAATAATTCGCATCCAGTCCACGAGTACAGAATACAAGCACCTTCTTGGGACTCCCCGCAAAAATAAACAGAATTTCACCTAATCCTCCCCCCTCCAAACCTGATTCTCTATTGAGTCCAGCTCAATCCATACCTATCCCAACTGCACAGGCTTAAAGGAAGAATTGTTAGTATATGTTTGACAACCGGCTCCCAGAAGAGGGAAAAAAAAAACACACCAAAAACCCTGATGGGTAGCATTTGCTGATTTCAGCGATGTAGAAATACTGTCACCACGACCAGTTTCCTGCTAGCACCGAGATGTCACCGAACAGAGTTGGGGAAAAACACCAGGTTCCAGGCACTGCTGAAGCCGGGACCGTGGGCCACAGGCTGGGATAAGCACAAACACCTTCTCCTTCAGTCCTCATGAAATACGAGGTGGGCATTAATATCCTCATTTCACAGATAAACTTAGACTTAATTTTTTTAATACAAGTGGCAGAGCCAAGATTCTAATCCAGGTGAATGGACAGCGAAGGCCCTCGCCTAAGACAGATTTTCCCGTTTTTTAAGAGGACCTGCAGTGTAGTTACAGTTGGTAACAGGATCCAGCTCACTGCACGCACAAAACAACGCTCTGCCCTCACAAGTGTGATGTGACCCTTCGCCTTCCATTTTCTTTAAATGCAGGGTACACTCCACTAAAGTTACTTCATGACGCACCTACGTGGTAAAAGATTCTGGAAAACACTGTGCTGAGGGCTGCTGCTTCGTGAACCCACAGCATCCCTTAAGTGCCTGGCCTGCCTGAGTTTCCCAGCCGTCCGCAGAGGCTCCAGGGCGCCCGCCCACAACCCCAGCCCCGAGGGCTGTCCTGCTCCTCCTCTTCCCGACCTTTCCCACAGCACTCCAGACGAATGCAGGCAGCAAGCACACACTAGGAAGTGGAAGAGAAAGAGAAAGCAAAAGGGCGAGGGTTTCGGCAAACAAGGGAGTGGCACCGACACACCAAGGGAGAATTCGCCCACGGTGCCGGTATCTGCTGAGGTCTCTCCTTGGCCTCTTACCTCGCTCAGGATTCGTCCCTCTCTCCTCTCCTCCCCAGCGTCCTTCTGGAGGAGGAGAAGCCCACAGCTTAGCTAATGGATGAGAGAGAGGCCGGTGCTGCCTGCAGGGCAGCCGTGTCCTGGGATGGCCAGGAAATCTTAGCTAGGATGACGGCCTTCAGCACACACACACACACACCCCAGCTCGGCCAGCCGCCTCCTTCTGTTCTGTAGATGGGCTCACTGTCCACAGCACGCTGCTGCTGCTGCTGTGAGGGCTGGGGGGAGAGGGGCGCTCAGCACGGTGTCTCGCAGAGCAGTGCCCCGTGAACGGCAGGAGCTGTTACCTGGGTTTGCACAAGCCACTTCTCCCGTTCATCCTTCCAGGAAGCTAAATGGAAGGAGACCAGGAAGATTCATCCACGTTTTGCTGCTCACAGGTGGGAACGAGTTTACTGCCCACCTCAAGAACACAGACGACGTGCCAGTCACTGCCTTAAGTGTTTTACTTCTATCGAAGCCTCAGAGATAGGTACTGTCGAGCCCATTTTACAGAAGAGGGAAAAAAAAAACACAGGTTATGTCACTTGCCCAGCAAGGTCACACAGTCAGAGCCGAGTTGGGGTTTTACCCCAGTGGTGCCATCAGTGGGGCAGGACCATGCAGCCCCCTGGACCAAGGCTCTGTGGGGTCAAACCCGCCATGCCACCCAGCATATCCCTGGGGGCACTGACGTGAGGACCCATTGCTTCTTCCGCCTGAGCCAAGTCTGCAAATTAGGAAGACCCCCGGACCCCCAGCCCCTCCCCACTGAGCCAGCCAGCCCGCCTGCCATCACCTTTTCCTTAGGGCACTGTCCTCCGGCCTGGCACTTATCCAAACCCAACCCTCACGAAGGCCCCAGCACATGGCCACTCTAGCAGGGAGCCCTAATCACCAGAACAGTCCACTTTGTGCCCAGCTCGAAGCTGATCTGCAAAGGGAAGCCCTCACCTCCAAGTTAAGGGTCAATGGGGGGAGGAGCAGACAAGTACAAAGTCATGTTTAGTAAGGGCTGCTCTGGGGTCACTCTGGGCGCTGCTGCGGCACCAGGGAGCTGCTAACGGCCAGCAGCTCAAGGGAATGTGCACGCGTGCAAGTAGGAAGTGACTTTTCAGCAGAGAGCTGGAGTCCGAGGACGCACGCACAGGTAAAAAGAGGAGAGGGATCAGGGAGAGAGCAAGTGGACGTTCTCTTATCCATGGCCCCAGGTGAACAGTGGATGGCCCCAGATGAGGGAATAGAGCCCCAAGAGTTGTAAAAGGTGCTGCTGGCGAGAGCGTGAACTTGGAGAGGTCAGCAGGGACCAGGTAGGCAGAGCCCAGGAAATCTCAGTCTTTACCTGAGGGCAATGGGACAGCGAGGAAGTGGAAGGATTTTAAGCCAATGAGTCACGTGAAGGGCTTTGCTCAGGATGGATGGGAGGAGGAGGAAGCTGGAAGCAGCCGCAGGAGGAGGAGGAGGAGGTGGTGACCAGGAGTGTGGGCCCGCAGAGGCAGCCGGAAAGAGAGGTGGAGGGATGAGAGGCTGAGGGGCCAGGACCACCACGACTGAGGGATCTGACAGGATGTGGGACCGTGAAAGAGAGGCAAGGGGTCACACGTGTCTCCCCAGCCTCAGGCTGGCCAATGGCGCCACAGACCGAGACAGGGAACCCAAAAGGGGTCCTTGGGGGCTGGGAGACAGGCTCGGTGGAGGTGTTGGGGTGGGGGCAGGGATGAGCTCCCACGTGCTCCGGGGTCTCCCAGTTTTCCCTCTTTGTTTTTTCTTTTTTCTTCAAATAAACCTAATCCACTCACGCTGTGCTTAAAACCCGTCCGGGCAGTTTGGGGTCCCATCTCAAAACTCTCAAAAAAAGACTAGGCAAAATTTTTAAAAAAAAATTTTTTTAAAGACACTTAGGAGTCCGTCTTTGCAAACCCCTTCAATCTCCAAGAAAACGTGGTGTGGGGACTTACCTTCCCTCGGCGAGCTCAGAGCGGTCGGCTTCTTCTCCGGCTTCGGGGCAGGGGAGGGTCTCGGTTTCTTCGCTAGGGGTGGGAGCGAGGAGGACGGGCGTTTGGGAGCCATGCTGGGCCAAAAGTCAGAGGATCTGCCCGGGAGGAAGTTGCACGGCTGGAAGGAGCTGGGCGAAATGAGACCGCCCCAGGTGCGGGAGCTTTAAATCCGCCCCGGAGCTGCCGTGACTGGGGGGATATTTACAAGACAGTGGGACACACACCTCCCTCCCCTCCCCCCGCCTCACCCCTTTGCACCCACCCTCCAATCGAGATCTGCCTCTGGTAGTGGCTCCCTTCGCTTCTCTAGGGCCCTTCCAGGCACTGAGTGGACGGGGGTACTTCCTCTAGGGAGTGGCCAGAGCTCCCTAGGACCCTCTGGGTCAGACCAGCAGCCCTTCCCCAAATCGCCTAGACAGGTAATGCTGCCAAGTTTTCCTCTTCTTTTTTCCCTTTGGCCTCCAGAGAACTTAAATGTGACCTTGCTCCACCTCAGCCTGGAACATTCTCTAGCCCTCCCGGCCCCACAGCCTCCATGTCTGGCTAACTCATTCATTCTCAACCTCCAGGTCTCAGCTTGGAGGGATACATGAATATTGAAAGAAGGGATTCCCAGTCAAGAATTACAAAGGAAGAAGGAAAAGCAGGTGCCCTAGAAAGCAGCCATTCATTCTTCACTCATTTCAGAAAAGGACAGAAGGGCCAGGAGTTCCAAGGACACGTTGAAGCTATCTTGTCTGGGAGTCACCGACCCCCATGCCTTCTGGGCCCCGTCGGGTAATCGCTATGAGTAAAGCAAGCCAGTGCAGTTC